CATCTGACTCAGAGTGGTGGACCAGAACACAAATTAAGCGTGCTTGTGTTTATAAAATACCTCATTTTTAAGTTGCAAGCCATTTTATCATTGTCTTTTATTTATTTATTTATTTTTTAAGCACGGCCTCCCCAGAATGCATGCAGAAGTGAAGCGTTTGGGAAATCCAGCTCGGTCACTGTGACTTGTCCCCTTGGTTGGAATTCTTTCTGAAGCCAGTCTGCTCTGCCCCTCCCCCAACCCCGTGAGCAGGCAGGCTCCCCTCCAGGCAGTTCGTTAACAAGTAGTAGTAGTTCTGTTCTTAGATTTAAATCCCGGTAGGCATGTCTGTGGCATGAGCCCTACCTGCTGTCACAGTTGCAATGTCATGGGGTCCCCAAAATATGTGTTAGGTTCTAGGAAGCCTTGACCCCTATAAACAAGTCAGGTGTGAATCCCACTGACGGGAGAAAATCCAGCCCAGGAAATGTCTCCCCCACCGCAGGATGTCAAATTCCTAAAACGTACAGCGACAGTAATAGGATTTCTAACAATACGATCCGACCTCTTTCCCACATTCGCACTTGTGACCATACAATGTGGGAATTTATTAATGTGGGAAATTACACAACTGACTTCAGAACTCTAGGGAGAGGTGAGGAGGATGTTGTTAACAAGAAAGCAAGGGGAAGGGAGAATATTTCCATTTGAAGCCAGTTCCCCAGTAAGAAAACTATGTTGGACGCTGGGCCCAGCCACCTTGGGCTTCAGCCACATGGGCTAGGCACCCTCTACGGAGGAGCGTCCCTGCTGTCGTCATCATAGGCAGCATGCTAGTGAGTGTTGGCTGTGCACCAAGTCCTGTTTGTTTGAAACATATTCATGTGTTGACTTACTCCTCACAACAATCCCATCATTATCCACGTTTTACAGATGAGGAAGCCAAGGCTTCAAGAAGTTACACAACTTCCCGTATGTCTAAAGTGACCAGACCCCGCTTTTAGCGGGACAGTCCTGCTTTTTAACAATTTGTCCCGTGGCATTTTTAAAAAGTCCCGACTTTTGGAAAGATTCTTTTAAATCTTTTGGACTTTTTTAAAACACCTCCGGACGCAGGACAAATGGTTAAGAAGCAGGATGTCTGCTCACCTTACATATGTCCCAGTTTGTAAATGGAGAGACGGGGGTTCAGCCCCAGGCCGCCCCGGAGCCTGTCCTCGCAGCCCTCGCTGCCTGTTTCTGTTCATCTCCTCCATTAGGTTCCATGAGGCCCCTGGCAACGTGGTTCCTGCCTGTCTTCCGAGCCGGACGCTGGCCTGGGCATATGCTCAGGAAGAGACCACTGCATGGGTGGGCGCTGGGGCAGAGGCGGCACAAGCCGTTCTCAGGCCCTGAGCAGGGTTGTTTTCTGGCCACTCGGTTTGGATCCTCCATAGCTTCCTTTAGGAGCCAATCTCGACTGCCATGGGGTTCCTTTCCACCCAGCCTGGCTTTGTGTTCAAAATCCAAATTGTCATAGGTATTTGGTAGATTTCTTGGTTCAAGATTTAACAGTCAGAGCTCAGTAGTTATTAACCCTACGTGTCCAGTACCATCCCTGCGTAGGTTCTAGAAAGTGGGTTTCTGTTTGGCCTGGGCTCCGATGTAAACGGAGCCGACCTCTAGGCTTCCCTCCAGGAGAGCCGGCATTGGTGTGGGTGCTTTTCCCTTACGCCGGGAGGGGCTGCAGCAGGGCGGAGGCCCGCAGGCTTCTCCGCCTTCCAGCCACTGTCGGCTATCCGGCAGTGCCACCTGGGGAAGCTTACCCACCGCACTTTGAGCAGAGTACTGTTTAGACTATTGAGTTCCTTTCGAGACTGACACACGCTTGATGAAACCATTCAGTCAAGAATCATGGTGTCTTAGAACTGTTAGCCATTAGCCATATCTGAAGAGATGGTCAGGGTTGACTTGCTATTTGTTCGCAGCCTATTTGTGCCATCAAACAAGTAGAGATAGATAGATAGATAGATAGATAGATAGATAGATAGATAGATAGATAGATAGATAGAGATTAGATATAGAAGTAAGAGATTTAATTACAACAAAAGTCTTGGGCGCACTCGTGAAGTCGATGCAGGCACCATCCATCACTCGGTGGGGTCAGTGCTCAGGGCGCCTGAGGAAGATGGCATTATCAGCACAATAAACAGTCTGTCGTGCAGGGAAGTCCCCTGTTTGGCATGCACTTTCTCCTCCTCTGCGATTGTTTTTGAAACTCATTGGGTTGATAGACATTGGCCATGACAGATTTCTCAGTCTACTGATAGCTTCGGCTGTACAGGGTATGTGTATGTGTGTACAACATCTGTCTTCAACTAATGGAACTATGACATAGTTACTCATCGTGTGAGCGAAGAACAAATAATGGCCGGCCAACTATTGACCCCGGGCTGAAAGGCGAGCTCAGCCAAGTGGAACCGGTCAGGTCTTCCTGTGTCACCTTGTTTGGGTTTGTTGTTGCCTGAGGAGGATGACAGGACTGTTTTCATTGCTCTGATCCTCGGGCTGGGGCCTCCGTGTGTGTCAGAGAGCAGCGGCCAGGCGCGGGCTTGGGCATTGATCTCTCTCGCCGGCGGATATCTGCAGCGTATCAGCCACTGTATCAGCAGCCCTTCCCCGGGGAGCCCCGTCCGTGCTGCGCAGCCGACTCCCTGACGTGCTCGTGGAGTTCAAAGCCCGGGTTGGTTTGGTGCTGACATTTTGGATTAGCTGGTTGACTGGAAGGCCTGCTTCTTTCTATACACTGTGAAATTTGTAAACCGCAGCCGCCGAGGGCTTAAAATGGCCGAGCAGCCCCCAGCTGGCAGCAATTAAGTACACCACAGACCTCTGGCTAAACAAAGGTTCGTGGAGTCAGAGTTGCTGCATGTGCGCTAGGCAGACTCGTGCTGCAAACTACCTTTTATGTCCAGGTTAGTTAGCAAGAGGTGCTGTCAGCTGCCGAGAGGTGAGTGGGTGGAGTGTTGCCACCTCTTGTTTAATGATCTGTTATCAGCAGGATGTACTGCCAGACCTGCCCTAGAAGCAGCCAGTCTGCTGGACAGTAGGGGTGAGGGTGAGGGTGAGGGTGAAGAAAGGGGCGGGCCAGCAGGGGAGGCCTCAGGGAGGGGGGGGGAGGTTGGTCCCTCAGCGGTGACCTGAGAACTTGGCAGGGATCTTTCAGTTCTGGTGCCCATGGGCAGTCGCTAGCCACTCGGCTTTGTTATTGGACACCATTACCCTTTAGGTAGAGCAGAGAGGGTGGGAATGAGAGGACAGTAAGGTGCCATTTTATACCCATTCATGCAGCCAAAGCTGGTGGTGATGTGCTGAGAGGCACGCTAATTACCATCGCCCATTGTCCAACGCTGTGCAAGATGTGGGCTCCCAGGGCTCGCCTCTCCTCAACCTCTCTGGCTCCGGGGTCCCCTCAGAGGAGGTTAGGGCTCCAAGTAAGTTTCCTCTCCTTGGGGGCATGTTCTTCCCACTTCCGTTTCTTATGAGGGAAGTACATGTGTCAGTGGAGCCATAGCTTCATGGCTTTCCCCGGGCTTCTCCTTTGCTTTGAAGATCAGTGAACGGGACAGACCCACCCCGGCCCTTTCCATCAGGAGTTGGGTTCCCATCAGGAGTTGGGGTTCTAGCTGGTTTTCATTTTGCCTTGACTGTGTTGACTCTCAGAGCCCAGACTTCAATCTTCTAGCTCTCCACCGATTTGCGTGTGGCCTTTCCTTTCTCAGTGGTCACAGAGGCCCCTATCCCTGCCCCCACCCCACACTCATCCATTTACTCACTCATCTAAGGTGCATTGCTTCTCCCCTGGGAACCGGGCACTGTCCAAGACAAAATCCTTCTCTCATGGCGCTTACATTCCTGGTGCGTGCCACACAGGAAGCAAACATATGATCTAAGTGAGATGTGAAGCAAACATGTTTGGAGCACGTGACTAATGGTATATAATTGTATTTTGAAAGGGTCAGTCCCATCGCTGAGGAGATGGGCCGGGTGGCAGTAGAATAAGGTGTGAGCGGGGCAGCGTGCAGGCCTGTCCAGGGGGTTTGCACTTGCCCCAGGCCTGCAGCTACCCCATTGCATGGCCTGCGGCAGCGTGCCAACTCTCTGCCCATGTTATGATCCCAATTGGCCCCTGGGGCACTCGTCGCCCTCGCAAGGACCTGGTTCTGAAGCGCCAACTCGGCGTGCAAGCCTGTGCCTCTTCTCGATGTGTCTAGAGGGGTGCTGTGCTTTGGAGGAATCCAGGAACAAATAATGAAAAGAACAGCAAGTACAAGGCCGCGGACAGACCCTGCACACTCTTATCAGTCATCTGAAATATGCACAGCCTTTCCAAGGCAAATACGGACTCCTGTTCCTAGGAAAACACCAGAAAGCACTTATCAGTTACCCTGTGTGTGGTTTGTGGACAGAGACAACATCACTGCCCGAAAGCCATGCAAAGCAGATTCCTCCGGGCAGCGCACGCGGAGGGGCCTGAGTGAGAACCACTGCAGGACACAGGCTGTGGCCCGGGGCCCGTCCACGGAGCTTTCTTCCCCCACGTGATTCCCGGGCCCCAGCAAGTCTGGAGGTGCCGGGTGGAAGTCCGGTAGTGATGACCACAGCAGACACAGCCACTGCCGGTGGGCAGCCCCGTTCTGTCATGCACAGGCTGGTCGGGCATTATTTTATTTGATCCTCACAGCAGTCCCACGAGGCAGGTGGCAGCACCCATTTTACAGAGAAAACTGGAACCGGGGGTTAAAGAAGTTAACCGACCTGTCCATTCTCACACAGCCAGGAGATGGCAAAAGCAAAGTTTTCATTCAAAATTGGTGTCTTTAACCCCAATCTCATTGTATTATACATCACAGCGAATCCTGTGGCTTGGTTCAGTCACTAAATGTGGAGTGTGTGTTGTCATAAGTAATGGGTTTGTCTTAGATGAAGCTGGGGATCATTTTAACACCTAACCTCTGCTTTGTGTCCGTCTCCCCTCGCAGGACGCAGGCGCAGAGGGTGCGGAAGCCGCGGTGCTGCACGGGGCCCCAGGGGCTGCTGCCCCGCTACTCAGAGAGCCAGGCCGAGGGGCAGGAGCAGCTCTTCAGGCTGACGGACAACATTCAGGACGAGTTGTAAGTGGGGACCCGGCGTGTTGGTCGCCGAATTGTCTTTTCTGTCTCTGAGGCTGAGAAGTTCCCATCTGACCCCCAGTGTCGTCATGACTCCTAGACCTTGGAAACTGGTCAGAGATGCCGAGGCCCAAATGTTTCAGAGGTTCAGATAAGCCGCTGGAAAACAGCCCTCTACTGCAAGCTGAGCTTCTCAAACCGAGTTTCAGAGTGAGGCCGTCATGTTTTATTTCTAGAAAATGGCAGGTTTTTTTCTAAATCAAAGAGAGACGATAATAAAATACTCTCAATTTTAAGGTGTTTTGTTTCCACCTGTAAAATTGACTTAAGCTTTAGTGTTCTAGTGTTTGCTGCTGAAAGCTAGTGGAACAAGGCAGATGAGCCAATAATAACCAGTAGCTGAAAATACGGGGAATGCAATTTTCGTACAATTGTTTTGTTACTCTTTGAATGAGCAGCCTTCTATACCTGGGATCTTGTAGTATTTTAAACTAGTGAAATTTTTCCGAGTTGATAGGATAGAATTCAGTATATCACTATTTTAGGGTATTCTCCGGACACTTTTCATAGAAATGCTTGCTAGCCTAAGTGTTAGAGCCCCCAGCCCAGAGAAAGCAGTTAGTTATGCCTGATGAGTAGCAAAATGCTAGTTTATTTTATTTACTTTTTATCCTTAACTAGGGATATGTTTACGAGTCTTTATTTAAGAGAGAGAGAGAGAGAAACATTGGTCATTTGCCTCATATAGGTGCCCAAATTGGGGATCAAACCCACAACCTAGGTATGTACCCTGACTGGGAATAGACCACAGCCTTTTTGGTGTACGGGATGACACTCCAAACAGCGACCCACCCTCACCCGTAACCCCCTCCCGCCCTTATCCCTGGCCAGCGCTAGTTTAATTTCTTTCAATGCTTATGTTTCACTTTAAGATAAAGCAAACGAGGGAAATTTCTGAGGGCAGTGGCTGCTTTCTGTTGGTGGATAAGTGTCTGAAGCAGAGGCTAACTCTCAGGAGAGCTTTCAGTGTCATTGGTGAGACAGTGGCATACTAACCCCATCTCATATTTCTGTAGCAGCGTTTGAGTGGGGGCATCAGCAGGCAAATGCAGAATTCATTTGCTGCCTGCTGGATAGGATGGCACTTCCCTGGATGTGTTTGGTGTAACCCACGCCCTCTGCCGTGTTCCTGGAAGGTCTTTTGATGGTGATGCATTACTTTGTCTCAGTCAGCTCTGGTTGCTGTGACAAAACACCATAGACAGAGTGGCTTAAACAATAAATTTATTTTCTTACACTTTTGGAAGTTGGGGAGTCCAAGGTCAAGGTGATGCCTGATTTAATTACTGGTGAAGGCTCTCTTCTTGGCTTGCAGGTGGCCACCTTCTTGCTGTGGGTGTGGCCCAGGAAAGAGAGTGAGATCTCTGTCTGGTGTCTCTCATAAGAACACTAATCCTGTAGGATCAGGGCCTCATCCTTATAACCTCATTTGACCTTAATTACTTTCATACTCCAAACAGTCACACTGGGGTGAGGGTTTCAACATAGGAATCGAAGGGGGACTTAATTCAGTCCATGGCAGGCATTCTGTTCTTTTAGTCCAGCCTCAGCCCTGGCCATCGCTCCAATATTTAGAATCCTAATGGGGTCTCACTCCAGGCATGACTGTATATTCCTGCTTCCTTGTGGTGAGGATTTGGTGATGCAACTGCTCTTTATACCACTTTTTAAAATATATATATATTTTTTTTATTTATTTCAGAGAGGAAGGGAGAGAGAGAGATAGAAACACCAATCATTGATCAACTGCCTCCTGCACGCCCCATACTAGGAATCAAGCCCTCAACCCAGGCATTGTGCCCTGATCAGGAATCAAATCGTGATTTCCTAGTTCGTAGGTCAATGCTCAGCCACTGAGCCATGCCAGCCCGGCTATGCCACTTTTCTGGTGGGACTTTTGGCTTTAGGATAGAAGGCCCAGAAGCCATCCTTCAGGTTCAGCCTGGCAAGGGCAGAGGCGCTAGAACCGTGACCCCAGGAGGGCAAGGAGCTGTGTCTGCCCCGTTCTCGGAAGAGCCCTCAGCACCTGGAATGGCACGTCACGGGCACTCAGGAAATGTGTGTGTGGCTGCAGTTTACCATGTTATCAATGTTCACTTTTCCTTTGGAGCGGCATCAAAGGCTGAGATTATAAGTTACTGTACATTGTGCATTTAATTCCATCTCTAGTCCTTGCAAAATTCATTTTCGGAAGAATGACATGTGCCAGGAGCTCAGGGAGAAAGGAGCCACCCCCCCTGAGAACAGCCATGGCATACTGGAAACGGGAATCCAAGTGGAGTTGGTAAAATAGATTTCCTGAAACTCTTGAAATTCTTGGGAACTGTGGGAAGAGATTGGCATGAATGAAGTTTGACTGAAGATGAAAACCATGTGTGTCCACGCATGTGGGGTCAATCGCGCCGGTGAGTGTGGAAGGAGGCAGGTGCCCACGGCCTTGCTCTGTGCGAGGAGTCGCCGCAGGGACGCCGCGGGGTTCCTCTGATGTGTCCTCAGCTGCCAGGCAGGGTCCCCACGGCGACAGGAGTATTAGAATCACCACTTTGCAAGAAAGGGCTTTTCAGGAAAAGCACACAAGAGCCAATTACACCTCTGACTTTTATCCTAGAATTGTAATTAAGAACATGTTTACAGACCTAATTATTTGCATATTTTCCTTCAGAGTTAACCCCTTAAAAGGATCTTTAATACCTTGCTCTACTGTTCTAACTAAATGTTTCCACATTTTTTTCCAGTTAGACTCACTGTTTCACTTCTGGAAAATATTGTGTAATTACTTCCTGATGCAGCGAAAACCCCACAAAGTCCCAGTGCCATGGTTACTTCAACTCTGTGCTCCCCGATCAAGTTTCATCCCGGTTTTTTTTTTTTTCTCATGTTATTTAATTAATTAGTATTAAAAAGATAGTTACTGACATGCGGCTGAAGGTCTGGCCAGCTGTGGAGGCTTTAGTTTAGAATGAACCGAATATGGCTCTGGTATGTTGCAGAATTACCATGGGCTTCCCATTTTTCTCAATTTGGGTTTTGAAATAGGATCCCTCTGGCTTAAGCTGATGTCAAAGTAAAATTTGTCCTATCTGATTAAATTGATTTTTCAATTTAATTGGTATCTATTTGTATCCAGAAACCTCATTTTCTTTTCTTTTTTTAAATAAATAAAAGTAGCTATTTTATTTCTAATCTTTCACCGCAGACCAAGTTACATACAGAAAAATATAAAAAGTAAAACAAACATAGCCTATAGACCCACAATGAGCTAAGTCCTTTCTCTTTTTGATGAAATAAACTCACGCATGGCTAGCAAGTTCAGAGCGCACAGGAAGAAATAAAACCCAGAGTAAACTTCCCTCCTTGCCCCCTCTGTGAATGTAATGTTTATGGTATTTGTGTCTTGCCTGTCCTTCTTGAGACATTGCAGAGAGAGAGCAAGCGGGAAGATTTGTTTGAGCACAGGTCAGAGTGTTGACTCTAATAGCACGTAATTATAAATACAAAGCTCATAATAAAAACAAGACAGGTCCTTGTGAGGCGGGGATAGCGTTCATGGCTTCCTTTTCCAAACCAGGAAATAATCTATCATAACCATTGACACCTAGGACCTGCTTTGACATGCCACTGAATCAAAACTTTCACGTGACAGCTTTTCCAACTGTCCTGCCCAAGGTGAAGGACTTGCTAAGTCTCTATGCGCAAACTCAGGAGTCCTGAGGGGGGTGCTTTACCTTTACCACAGGGTAGACTGCAGCCAGCATGCCATTGACCTGGCGATGCCATTTCATCGTCATTTTCTGAGACTACCGAGCACGGACATTTACTGAGTCCCACTGTGCAGGGACGAGTAAGGCTTGGCTGCTTCCTCGGCACGTTTACCAACCAGCAGGGGAACAGACAGTGTCACCAGCTACTGTGACACATGACTGCTTTTAGAACAGAAGTGTGAGCCATGTGTTCCAGGCCACCGGGAAGTGATCCAGTCCGCCTGGAAATCTGGGGGTGGGGGCTGAGGGCCATCCTGGCCCCGCAGGCTGAGGAGGGAGATGCTGCAGGAGAAGGTCCTGTTGCCCATGCGGCCTGGAGAAGGCATACCACCTGCCACCGGGGCGAGTCCGGGCTGGTGTTGGCGATGCCGCCGGTGCCACTGAGAAAACCCCGAGGTCTGGGGGATGTCTGGGTGCCCGAGCTCCCAGCCTGCCTTTCTCTCTGAAGAAACTTCCAGACACTCTCTCGAGCCAGCGTTACTCTTTCTCTCCGCACAGGAGCGTTAAAGTAAGCCTCTTCACGGAAGCCTAAAAGCCTGCTTTGTGTGTGGTCAGGAAGGACTTGGCTGTACCTACAGACCCTGAGACAGTTCCGGACCCGCTGGCTCCGGTGCTCATGTCTGAGGGATGGCCCCATCCTCAGCTCTGTTTCTCCACTGGCTTTTCTTCCCCGTCCCGGGGTCCCCAGCAGGTCAGAGGCAAGCAGGATGCACTCAGGACCCCCCGAGTCCCGGTGGCTATCGTGTCCGCCTCAGGGTGTCCCAGCACCACGCCCCCGTGGGCCGAGCAGCCCTGCGGGAAGCAGCGCGGTGACACGGGTCCGAGCGGGAAGCCGGGGTCTGACTCAGCGGGCACACAGCGGCGAAGCTGTGGAGGCAGGCCCCCCCGCGGGGGGATGGCCAGGAAGGGCGGTGCTGGCAGCGGAGCCCGCCCGGAGCACTACTGGGCCCGGCTTCTCTTACACCCCGACTTTAGGCTCCTTTCTGGCAGTGACGAGTTTGGGGTCGGTCTCCATTACCAGGGAGAAGCCCTCATCTTGAGCTCAGTTTTCAATTATTCTTCCATGTGGTTTCCAGATTTTGTAATAGAAAAAGTAGTCTGTGTGCATGCATGTATGTGTGTGCATGCGCACGCAAGCGTGGGCGGGGGGGGCTGCCTAGGAAGCGGCAGGAGGAAAATGGAGAATGGTTTGCCAGGTCCATCTCTGGCTTCCCTTGCTAACGGTAGTGGGGACCCTGTGCCAACTGGGGTGGGACCCTGTGCCGGCCCGGGTGGGATCCTGTGCCGGCCGGGGTGGGACCCTGTGCCGACCAGGGTGGAATCCTGTGCCGACCGGGGTGGAATCCTGTGCTGACCGGGGTAGGGGTCCTGTGCCGGCCGTGGTGGGGACCTGAGCTCCAGTGGCCTGCTGTGGCTCCCTGCCTCCCTTCCTGTGAATGGGCCTCTGGACTCCCAGAGCGGAGCTCTGCCTTTTACTGCTCCCGTCCCCGCCCCGTTCTGAATGGCCTGTGACTTCACTGTTTGTGTCGGAAGCTGGCAGGTAGCATCATCTCTGTCAGATGAAGGAACTGGACCGCAGAGAGGGCAGCTGGCCTGGCGCACCCGCTGCCCACGGGTTTCCCTCCGCTGCCTTGAGTCCGCACCATGGGAGGTGCCACCCCGCGTGGCCCCCCGCTCAGGGCCGCCCTGCCCCGGGTTCCGGCCTGACCCAGGACTTGTGCCATCGTGGCATCTGGAAAGGAGTCTGCTTTAAAGCCTGTGAACGCTCCGGTGGGAGTGCGCTCCCAATGCCAGCCCCTCGGGAGGTGTGAGGGCAGCAGCCTCGCGGAAGGGAGGCGGCCCTTTGCAGGCTGAGCTGTGCACAGAGGTCACCGCGGGGCTGCGGCTGAGGTGTGCGTGGGGCAGGGTGAGGGCCCAGAGGGGCCCAGGACAGAAATCACCTCGGTTGGGTTTTTAGTGCACATTCCTGCTCTCACCCCAACTGCACTGGCCAGCTCTAGGGGTCTCCTCTGAGAGCCCAGTGGAGCCTCAGCAGCCCCTGCCTGCTCACCGGCACTCAGAGGTCATGGCTGAGTTCCGCCTGCACCTGATTTCCCAGCAAAGCCTGGCTGGCCCTGTGGTGCTTCCCTCCGTTAGGAAGCAGTGTTTACCGCTCTCTGTCTGTCTCTGTCCCTTTCCCTCCCCCTGGACCAGCTGTGTAGGTCCCATATAGTTCCATCAAGTGGTCAAGCTGTGTCCCAAGACTGGCAGGGCTCAGGAGGTGGGGATTATGTGCTAAGCGGCCTGGACCCCAAAGCTGCTGGGTAGTTTTCATTTGAGCATCGAGACTTCCCAGGTCGGCATTCTTGGCATTGGCACCAGTTAGAACAGAATAATAACTCCAGTTTGTCATGTGAGGCCGTGTTAAATGGCGGCTGGAAGCAGGAGATACTTGCTGAGCGAGTCCTCGGGTGGGACGGAGAGGGGATGTGGACCCACTGCTCCCCCAGCATGGTCAGATGGGACATGTGAGTGTCTGGGGTGCTTCAGAAGGGGACAGTTAGGGTTCAAAAGGGGATGGGGTTGGAGTGCTCCATGGGGAAACTCCGAGAGGCTGCGTGCAAGGTTGGGACTTGTGAGACCTTAGGTTGGAGGATGGAGGTGGGCTGACAGGGAGGATGGCGGTAGCTGAGAGGAGGATGGCAGTAGCTGAAAGGAGGATGGCGATGGTTGAGAGGATGGATGTGGGCTGAGAGGGAAGGATGGAGGTGGGCTGAGGACCGTGTGTTCTGAATGCAGGGTGAGTCTGGGAGCTTCAATCCCCTGGGGGCAAGTGCCTGGCACAGGCTGGGACGGAGAGAAAAGCCTCCTGTCACCTCCTTCCCTGACGTGGAGACAAAGCCGTCCTGGAACCCTGGTCCTCCAGCAGCTCCAGGGGGAGCTTGGGCTCTGAGCAAGTTTGCAAATTCCTCTCAGGCCATCAAGGCCCGGGGCAGCCTGACAGCCAGCCTGCAGTCAGCTCTGAGGATTCCTGCTGCCGCCCGCTGCTGTCCTTCGCCAGCCGGCGAGGCCGCCCATTGTGAGGCTGTCACAGGATCGGGGAGGCAGCCAGGCCCGGGGCTGCCACCGCTCAGCCAGGTCACTGCCCTCCATGCGGAGCGGAGCCCAGAGGCTTACAGCGCATTCCTTCCCCTTAATCTGGCTGCTCCAGAGGGGGGATTTTTTCCGAGCTGCCCAAATGCCCTACAAAGCAATGGCTGAGAGGTAGGAAAATCAGGATTGTAGCTTGACTAGCAAAAGCACCTTCCACTTTGTGGAGGTGCTGAGCAGAGGCTGAGGCCTCCTCTCAGAGCTGAGACCGGAAGGAAGTAGGTGTCGGAGTGCCGACGCGGGGCCTCGGGCCCCTTGGTGACCTGTTTGGCTCCACTTCCTCCTCCGTCTCCATCACGGCCTGCCTGCCGGCTGGTGGTGGCCCTCCCTGGCTGACAGCTTCCTCAGCTGCTCAATCCTCACGGACACTGTTTGCTTCCTCCGCTTTGTCCAGCAAAGCATTGCTGCAGCTCCTCCGCACCTGACGCTGCCCAGGGGTCTCCCTGGAGACGCCCACGGTCACTTTCGGGGTGAAGAGGTTCCCTCGTTGGCTGTCAATCATGTGCCGACGCTGGTTGAGTCCCCAGTGGAAGGGCCCGCAATGCCAGCCTCGCTTTTGTTCCCGATTCACAAAGGAGGAAACGGGCTCAAGGCGATTGAGACTCCTGCGGGGAGGGTAGGGGAGGGAGGGAGCCTGGACTGGGGTCAGGCCTCAGGACACCAGGCACCCCCTCCCCACCCCGCTGGCTCAGACAGGGAGAGGGCTCCGGGCGCCTCGCTCACGCCCCCTCTGCTTGGCAGCTTCATCGCCGTGGAGAACATCGACAGCTACTGCGTGCTCATCTCCTCCAAGGCCGTCTACTTCCTGAAAAGCGGTGACTACGTGGACCGGGAGGCCATTTTCCTGGAAGTCAAGTATGACGACCTCTACCACTGCCTCGTCTCCAGAGACCACGGGAAGGTGTACGTGCAGGTGACCAAGAAGGCGGTGAACACGAGCAGCGGCGTGTCCATCCCCGGCCCCTCCCAGCAGAAGCCCATGGTGAGTGCACCCCCGAACCACATGGTCCGAGCGGAGGGACAGCGAGGCCCAGGGCACCCCGCCTGCCCCCTCTCCCCCCGGGAGCTCCCCGCAGGGCCAGGGGAGCCGGTACCCAGGGGTGCTGCCTCCTCCGCCTCCGGGCGCCCGACACGTGCCAGCACCCATGCCGAGGGCCCGTGGGTGCTGGGGGGGACCCGCTGTCATGATACAGTGTCTAGCAGAGACCTCTACGCTGGGTAAATGCTCCATAAATAAAATGTGTACTTTTAAGTATGAAAGGCTAGATGGTATTGCTAAGGCGGGACTTTTTTAAAAAAAGAACGTTGCTATTAACCATCACCATAGGAGCTGGGGTTCAGGTGCTGTGTGACCCCAGACCACGTGGCCATCTCGCTGGGAGGGACGGGGCTCAGCAGGAGCACGTGGAGGAAGCATCGTCCTGGCCGTATTCTGGCTCGGTGTCTCCATGACACCCAGGCTCGTCCTGCTCCTTCCCTCCCGGAATGCTGGTCCGCCGCCCGCATGTGGGCAGGACGCATCATTAAAACGCTCCGCTTATCTCTGGGTCTTTCTACAGCTCAGAAATAGCAACCAGCCTTGTGGGGCCTCTTTCCCTTGACCTTCTCCTGCCCAGGAATGCACTTGGGTTTGGTTTGGCTTGTGCAGGCTCCCCTGGGGTCATTGGCTGAAGTCAGGGCTGGGAGATTAACAGAGTTAACACCCAAAAGCATGAGCTATTTCCACAAGTTCCTCTCCGTGATGGGGAGCCTGGCCAGCTGCATTGCTGCTCCTTTAAGGCAAGTGAGCCCCTCGTGTTGTGGACAAGAAAGGCCTGGAGGCCTTGTGGGCCGGATGTGGATTTGAATCCCAAAGGTGCAGCCCCTTACTTGTGCTCTTAGCCTGCGGGAGCTGAAACTTCCCCAGGTACAGGCATCCCCAATCTCAGTGACTGGTTGGCTGCACAGTCACCGGGGAACTTGTAGAGACACAGATTCCGTGCCCTCCCCTCCCTCTCTTAAAAGTGCACGTGCCGAAACCGGTTTGGCTCAGTGGATAGAGCATCGGCCTGTGGACTGAAAGGTCCCAGGTTCAATTCCGGTCAAGGGCATGTACATTGGTTGCAGGCACATCCCGGTAGGGAGTATGTAGGAGGCAGCTGATCGATGTTTCTCTCTCATCGATGTTTCTAGCTCTCTATCCCTCTTCCTTCCTCTCTGTGGAAAATCAATAAAATATATATATATATTATTTTAAAAGTGCACGTCCTGTGTCTAGAGCTGGGCCCTGTGGCCGTCCCCTCGGGCGAGCAGGTGCTCACTCCGTCTGTCCTGCAGGTCCACGTGAAGTCGGAGGTCCTCGCCATCAAGTTGTCACAGGAGATAAACTACGCCAAGAGCCTGTACTATGAACAGCAGCTGATGCTGAGGCTCAGCGAGAACCAGGAGCAGCTGGAGCTGGACTCCTGAGGCCGCGGCCGCGCGGCTCGGACCCACCTGCTGATCGGGAGCCCGAGGTGGAGGCCAAGCCGCAGCACGGTTTGGGGGACGATCTCAAGGAACCAGAGGAAGCACACGCTGACAGGGACACTAATGGAAACCAACCGCACTGATTCGTGGGCCGGGGGTTACCTTAGATTATGGGGAGTAATTTTTTAAAGGTATTGGTTGAATAACGTTAAAAAGGGTCTGAGATGAACCTCATATTTTGTTACCATGTATATATGTACAACTGTGTGTTTGTAAATATGTAGGCGTATTTCCCAGCAGGGCCTGTGCTGTGTGTAAAGGCTTATGGACTGTAAAGTAATATAAAGTTATATTGGATCTTCTGTTGCACTAATTCCTCACGTCTGGGTCAGGGAACTCTGACAGGCACCCGAAAGCCGGAGCATGTCAGGTCTCGGGGCCGGAAACCAGGGCGTTCCCAGCGCAGGGGCCGGCCGGGGGGTGGCGCAGACGGTGCTGGGAGGGCCCCCTCGGACCTGCTGATCTCGGGCTGGAACCGGAGCCGGCCTCGCAGAGGCGGGAGTGGCCCAGGAACCCATCGTTTATGTATCTTTCTCTCCCGTTTTAAAGGCAGTCGTTGGGTTATGACAGATGGTTTCCCGCCCATCTCCTGGGCATAGCCAGGCTTGGAGGGAGATGGGGTGTTGTTCCCGCACTCGCCCTACAAGCACCATAAGCTTTCCTGGATGAGTCTGTTTGATTTAGAAGGAAAAGTCCCGTAGAAATCTTTGTCTTAACAAACAAAACCCACACATTTATGAGGCCCACAGTAAAGGATGCTCTCCTGGGCCGCAGCGGAGAAGGCCCCGGACTCCTCGGAATTCAGCCACAGGCACAGCTCCGCGGCCCCACGCAGCCGGCCAGACGCCGCCAAGGGGACACAGGGAAGGAGTGTGAGTATGGAGAGGCTAAGCCACTTTGCATACCAAGATGTGACCCCAAACTCTCCTGTGCTTGGCTTTCGGCTCAAACACCACAAGGCCGTGTGAGAGCCTCGCTTCCCGGCCTCCTGTTTCCCTTTTCTGTGAAGAAGAGACAGTGGGGGCGGGGTGTCACTGTAGAATGAAGGACTCGCCTTGTGATTTAAAACTTTTATTTTCATAAAGCTAATCAGGGTGTGCCACCGCGTCACATGCAGCGAGATCTGGAACGACTCGGTGGGCCAGTGGGCGAGGAGATGGCTTCCGGGTTCCCAACTCATGGCCCAGGTCCTTCCAAGACACACATGACGCCGATCTCTCCCTCCCTCTCCCTCCGCCGGGGTGTGGGCTATGGCGGGGAGGGAGTTTTCAAAGAAGCAAGAAGGCCCTTCAGCATCGTGTGCACGTGCTTCCGCTCAGGGTGTTTGCAGGGTGGCCTTGCACTCCAAGCTCTGGTGTTGCTGAACCGGATTCCGGGGCCCGCAGAGCTGCAGCCTGGTCCTGCGGGGCTGTGGTTGGTTGGTTGGTTGGTTGGCTGGTTGGCTGGTTGGTTGGTTTTGCCGGCGGGCAGTCGGCGGGCAGCACGCACACAGTGCCTGGGGCCTGGCCTCCCTCCCCGCACCCCACTCGTTCGCCTCGGCAGCCGCCACCTGCCATCAGGATCTCTTCACAATGAGGCCCTCAGAGGGCTGTCATCGGTGAGCCTCTGTCGCTTTCCGGAATGAGGTCCCCTGAGTCTCTGAGCCACAGCGGAGCTTCGTGTTACTAAAGAGGACGAGTCTGCCCGCCGCCCACGGCAACGGGATATTCTGGGCTCTGACGGCAGAAAGCCGGGCGGGCAGGCGGGCGAGGGCTTCTGCAGGACGGTGCTCCCAGCTCCAGGCCCCCCCATCCTCCTTTCTAATTTAATCAGCCCTCGAAATAGTCGTCCATCTCCCCGATTGCGCAACTCCTCTGACATTTGCGCCTGAGACCGTCCAGGGATCCAAAGACCAAGCGGGGTGGGGCCGGGTGGGGGCAGGTGGGCACCAGCCGAGGGCTCTCTGGGCGCCCTGCCCTGGCTGCCTGCATGCCAGGCGTGGCGAGGAGGCCTCGGGGCTCCGGCACAGGTTTCTGGTTCGCCAGAAAAGAATCGAAGCTCTGGGGGAAGCAGCCCTGGCCCTGGCTCCGTGGATGCCCATTTCCTCCAAGCCTCCGGCCAGCGATGCCCGGAGCTCGGGGAGGACCGGCTCCACCGCTTCGCCCGCAGCCTCGGGTCACGGTCCCCCTGGAGGAAAGTGAAGTAAATGGAAGGAGAAACCCAAAGCCTTCCTCACTCCCTGACCCAGCCCAGTTGGCCAACCCAGGCCGCTGCCCAACCACAGCTGCTTGCTCTGCCCATGGAGAGGCCAGCCAGAGGGCACCCGTGGGCCTGGCCACCCTCAGCCTCCCAGCCCGTGTCTTGTTGCTGGGTGGTACCCACCTCCAGCTCAGAAGTTCCAGGGCCACTCATTTTTAAGAAGCATCTGTGCCTCAAAACGCCGTCGTGGCTGGTTGAGGCAACCCCGGGCACAGACACACGGTTCCGTGTGTAAACACCAACGTAGCTGCCAGTCCGTCCCGGCTCTTCCATTCACTTCTCATGTCGGGGCCGTTCTTGTTCTTCCAGTGGAATAAAATTTGTTGACTGCCCAGACATGTGGTTTTCTTCCGGTTTCTTGGTGTTGCAGATTCTAGAACCATCACCAGTGACAAATGCCCGTGTGTGACAGCGCGCACATTCATGCCCCCTCGCCCTTTGCTCCACGGAAGCCAATCCTGCCCCTGAGCCGCACTGGCCACTTTCCGTCCCCAGGCCCGGGGCCCGGGTGTCCTCCTGGCTGCTTCTTACTCCACTATGCTGAGGCTGCTGGGCTCAGCCTGGCAGCGGGAGTTGCCACTTACCAAGAAGGGGAGACTCGGGGGGAGCAGGTCTGGGGCTCCCTCAGCACATGCTGAGTTCAGGGTCCTGCTGGTTAAAGGGAGAATCCAGGAAGGCAGTGGCCTGAGAGACTGGAATTCAGGAGATGGTGTCCAGGCTGGAGGCGCCGGTTGGGAGCCATGTGCACCAGTGACAAGAGGACCCTGGATGGAAGCCCCAGAGGACAGTGGGCAGTGAGGAGAAGAGCTCCAGAGCTGAGCCCCAGGGGTCCCCCAAGTTTAGAGTCAGGCAGATGGAGAGGAACAGTGAGGGGAACCAAGCAGGACCGTGGGGGACGTGCGTGTGAAGCCGGGAGTGTGGGGCCTCGGAGCCGGCCAGGATGGTTGGAGAGAGTGGGATTAACCAGCAAGTGCTGCCGAGAAGTCGGGTCGCAGGAGACCAGCAGTTACTGTCGGGTGTGCAGCGTGCAGGTCCCGAGACCTTCCTGAAGGTGAAAGGCGATGGCAGTGGTTTCCAGGGGAAAAGAGGAATCGGAAGCGACACTGACTCTGGGTGATCTGTTCATGGGAGGACAGACAGATGGCCGGCAGGATGAAGGAAGGCAGTAACAGGAGGGAGGAGGCCGGTGTGGAAGCAGCAGGAGATTCTCATGTGGTCGCTTCTGTTTCCTGGGAGATCAGCAGACAGAGCAGGGCCGGAGGAGGGTCGGTGGAGAGGGGAGAGGATGTACAGCTGTCAGTCAGGACTGGGAGGGGAGCTAGCTGACCAGGAGCATGAGGGCCCGTTTGAGGTTGGGGGTCGTGAATTACAATGAGGCCAGGAAGCCTTGATCTGCACAGATTAGGCAAAGAATTAGATTTAATCAAGGATTGTGCCCCCTTGCCTATTCCAACATGCCACCCGCTGATGCCCCCAGAACTCAGCAAGAGCCAGTGAGAGCCCAATGTCAAACACACCCTACACTTTCCAAACCAAAGCCCAGCATCTAAACCAAATGCCCTATGTGGGGGGAGACTGTGGAGGTATGGCTAACACCCCCCAATGAGAGAGAGCTCACTAGAATATTTCAGGACAGTTACTCCTGCATTTTTCCCTTTTTGTACCCCCCCCCCCATATCAACCCTTCAAAACTAATAGCCTTGCCCTTTGCCCATGTGCTCACTACACTCCCGTAGTCTTCACATTCAGGCATGTACACAGATACACACATCTTACCCAGTAATAGACAAACATGTAAATTGACCGTACCTCTGCTACACCCACAGCCAATCAGAGTGAGTATGCAAATTAGAAAGCCAAAGATGGCACCGCCCAGCTGCTCCAGGCATGGAGTGGCCAGGCGGAGCAGGACACCTGCTATGAAAGGGGGTGGGGAAGGGGGTGGGGATCTACAGGAATGGAGTGCCACAGCGAAGACCAGATGGCAGACTCCAGCCGGAGCGAAGGCCTTGGTCCCAGGTGCCAGAGGAAAACCGGTGCTGGAAGCCAAGGGAAGGAAGGCCTATCACATGAATCTCTTCGTGCAATGGGCCTGTAGTTCACACTTAATTTCCCGGCATTTGCTTTTGTGAAGTTGGAATCCTACATGTCCTTTTGCAACTTCTCAGTGTCACCTGTAGGTTGGTGTACCTGTCTTCTCTTCAATGCTGCATAGTTTATATGTTTTTGATGCTGTGTAATATTGATGCATAAGTTCTGTAGTCATTAAAATATGTACACAGATAATAATTTAATAATAATTTTAAAAAAGTTCTGTAATCACTCAATGATTCCTTCCTGTGGGCCTTCCCTTGGCTTTCAGGCCACCCTCCCCCCTTCCCTCCAAAAACAGCCTCCCCTGAATGTGCATGTTATTTCCGTGCCGACTCCCAGGGGTCAGGGGTCAGGGGTTGGAGGGTGCATGATCACTTTCTCAAATGCTGGTGGGAACGCGGCAGGCGGGAGCAGCCTATCCCAGCGTCCGCCTGTCTGTCAGACAGGTACAAAGTGGTGCCTCAGTTTCCCTAGCATTGGGCCATATTTTCCTTTATAGGAATTTAAGTTAGGGATGGCTGCTGAGTTCCATCTATTATTACGACTGTATTGTTTTTCTCCATTATTTTTTTTTTCAATATAGATAATATGTGGATAAATTTCCTAAT